GTGTGCTGGGGGAATTGTGCGAGGGGGAATTGTGCAGGGGGGAATGTGTGCTGGGGGGAGATGTGTGCTGGGGGGAAATTTGTGCTGAGGGAAATGTGTGCTGGGTGGGGGAATATGCGCTGGGGTGGGGGGTGAATGTGTGCTGGGGTTGTGGGTGAATGTGTGCTGGGTTGGGGGATGAATGTGTGCTGGAGGGATTGTATGCTCCCGGGGAAACCGGTCCTGCGGTGAGTGCGCAGCTGGCACAGTACCTGGCCAGGCTGCCCATTCACTTGATCCGGGTTTCCCTCAAAGCTGGGCTGCTGTAGTTGGAAGGATTCCTCTTGCCCACCTCTGTCCAGGCAGGGCCTCGGGGACTTACATGGCTACAAGACGGGCCACAGTGGTCTTAAACCGGTCAAAGATGTAGCCAGTGGGGAAGGTCATGAAGTTGTTTATGAAGGTCGCCAGTGTGAAGATGAGTGAGAACCTCTCATCCTGGGCTCTGCAGTCTGAGGAGAGGAAGGGGAAGGGGAATCTCAGACACCCATCTCCCATCCATCCCACCCTCCTGCCAGGTGGCCACCCAGCCACGACTCCCCTCTAGGGCAGCCTCGTCCATACTGGAACGCTTGCCTGATGGAAAGTTCTTTCTTATGGTGGAAAGTTCTTTCTCAAGCTGAGCTGTAATGTGACTCCCCCTAACCACTCTCAAAACGTCCCTGAGCGGTGCAAAGAGTCTGCGCTCGGTTACCAACTGAAAGGTTGGCAGTTCAAACATACCCAGAGGCTCCGCAGAAGAGACACCTGGTGATCTGCTTCCGTAAAGATTACAGTCAAGGAAACCCTATGAAGCTCAGTTCTACTGTGTAACACAGGGGGCGGGATCAACTTAATGGCAATAGGTTTGGTTTTCTGGTGAGGAACTACCACCTCACGATCTGGCACTTTCCATCCTAGACCAAGTCTCTCCCTCTCACCGAAAAAAAAAGGCTGGCTTGGGACCAAAAAAACCAAACCTGGTGCTGAAGAGTCAATTCTGACTTATAGTGATCCCATAGGACAAAGTAGAACTGCCCCATAGGGTTCCCAAAGCTGTAAGCTTTATGGAAGCAGGCTGCCACATCTTTCTCCCGCAGAGCAGGCTGATGGGTTCGAAATGCCAACCTTTTGGTTAGCAGCCAAACAGTTAACTGGTGCGCCACCAGGGCGCCAGCCTCAAATTCTCCAGAGAATTCATCCTCCTCACTGCCCTTACCAGCCTGCTCCGTGGCGTTGCCCATCAGCTCGGCATTCGGTTCACACAGGTCCTCAAAATAATGCTCCATTTTGAAGACAAACACCAGTGAGGCCCAGCCAAAGAGGATGCCTGCAAAGCCCAGGCATTCCAGCAGCCCCGTCAGCAAGGTGGCTACACGAAGGCACAGGCCCTGGACCGCCATGACCTGAGGTGATGTGAGTTCTCGAATCACACCTGCCGCCTCCTGGAATGACCACAGGAGCTACAAAGTCTTGGTGTCTGCACACTTGGAAAATTCCTTCCCTGCAGGCAGCAACCTGGCTCTGGCTGCTTCAGGCTTGGGCAGGAGCCATTGGTAGGCGAGTCTCTGGATTCTGGAAAATAAGGCAGAGGCTGCTTAGCACAGGATTATGGGAAAGGTAGAGATGAACAAAGGGGTCTTTGTCAGGTGGAGGAAGGGGATGCTGGTCTTCCAGCAAGAGGAGGCCAGCTGTTAGAAACAGCTGCAGGAAGCATTCCCGAGTGAGCACCCACCACTGACACATGGACAGCAAATACTTCCATACATCCTCTAATGCATTAATTCCATTTGAGCCTCACAACAAACTGGGCAGTAGAGAAGGCAGGTATTACAGGCAACCTCAGGAGTCCCTAGTAGCAAAACAGTTAAGCAAAAGGTTGGCAGTTCGAGTCTACTCAGAGGCGCCTAGGAAAAAAGGCTTGACCATCTACTTCCAAAAAATCAGCCACTGAAAACCTTATAGAAAAGGAAAGAGGCCCCAGATAAGCAAAGCATTACTGAAGAAGAAGAACAAAGTAGGAGGCCTCACACCTCCCGATCTCAGAACCTACTATACAGCCACGGTAGTCAAAATAGCCTGGTACTGGTACAACGACAGACAGACACATAGACCAATGGAACAGAATTGAGAACTCAGAAGTAAATCTATCCACCTATGGACAGCTGATCTTGGACAAAGGCTCGAAATCCATAAAACAGGGAAGAGATAAATGCCCTTACCAGCCCTTTAATAAACAAGGCTGACAAAACTGGATATCCATTTGCAGAAAAATGAAACAGGATCTTTACCTCACACCAGATACAAAAACTAACTCAAGATGGATCAAAGACCGAAATGTAAAACGTAATATAAAGATCATGCAAAAAACAATAAGGACAAACCTAGGGTCTCTAAACTGTGGCATAAATAGACTATCAAACATAACTAAAAATGCACCAACAGCAGAAAATAAACTAGATGACTGGGACTTCTAAAAATCAAATACTATGCATCAAGACTTCTCCAAAAGAGTAAAAAGAAAACCTACAGACTGGGAAAAAAAACTGGCAATGACATATCTGACAAGGGACTAATCTCAAAAATTTATAGAAAACTTCAACAACAAAAAGACAAACAATCCAATTTAAAAATGGGCAAAGGACATGAACAGACACTTCACCAAAGAAGACATTCAGGCGGCCAACAAATACATGAAGAGATGCTCACGATCATCAGCCATTAAACCTGTTGCTGTCAAGTTGATTCCAACTCGTAAGGACCCTATACGACAGAGTAGAACTGCCCCATAGGGTTTCCAAGGAGTAGCTGGTGGATTCGAACGGTCGTCCTTTTGGTTAGCAGCCAAGCTGTTAACCACTGTGCCACCAGGGCTCCTCACTAGCCATTCAAAAAAACACCAAACCCACTGCTGTTGAAGTTGATTCCAACTCATAGCAACCCCATGGGGTTTCCAAGGCTGTAAATCTCTACGGAAGCAGACTGCCACATTTTTCTCCCGCGGAGCCACTGGTGGTTTTGAACCACCGACCTTTTGGTTAGCAGTCGATCGCTTTAACCACTGCGCCACCAGGGCTCCTTCATTAGCCATTAAAACAAGCAAACAAAAAAACCAAACCTATCGCCACTGAGTCAATTCCAACTCATAGTGACCCTACAGGACAGAGGAGAACTGCCCCATATGGTTTCCAAAGAGCAGCTGGTGGATTCAAACTGCTGACCTTTCGGTTAGCAGCCGAGCTCTTAACCACTGCACCACCAGGGCTCCTCATTAGCCATTAGAGAGATGCAAATCAAAACTACAATGAGATACCATCTCACCCCAACAACAGTGGCACAGATCAAAAAAAGAGAAAACAAATGCTGGTGAGGTTGTGCGGAGACTGGCACTCTCATACACTGTTGGTGGAAACATAAAAAGGTACAACCACTGTGGAAAATGGTATGGCACTTCCTTAAAAAGCTAGAAATAAAAATACCATATATGATCTAGCAATCTTACTCCTAGGCATGTGTCCTAGAAATAAGAGCCGTGACACCAACAGACATATGCATACCCCTGTTCACTGCAGCATTATTCACAATAGCAAAAAAATGGCAACCTAAGTGCCCATCAACAGATGAATGGATAAAAACTGTGGTACATACACAAAATGGAATACTATGAAACGTTAAAGAATAACCATGAATCTGCGAAACATCTCACAACACGGATGAAACCTGGAGGACATTATGCTGAGTGAAGTAAGTCAATCACAAAAGGACAAATACTGTATGAGACCACTACTATGAAAATTCAAGAAAACGTTTCCACACAGAAAAAAGTTCTTTGATGGTTACCAGGGAAGGGAGGGAAAGGGAGAGGAATCACTAACTAGATAGTAGACTCGTACTAACTTTGGTGAAGGCAAACACAATACACAATATGGGGGAAGTCAGTACAACATGACCAAGGCAAAGGAAGACAATGAGAGTTACACAAGAGTAAAAGGCAGCAGAAGTAAATACTGTTACATAGACAAACCTGCAATAACAGTAATAACAAACAATAATGTATGAGTGAGTGGTTACCTAGGTTAATATGTAAGCTGAACAAGTGTGAGATAGCATATGGGAGTACACCCACAAGCATACGTAAGTTTGGCAGTGGATATTATTACGTACATATTTGTATGTGCTGCAAATATATCCATCTATATAATAAAGCACACAGGGGGCGGTTATGAAAACTTCTTAACCAAAACCAAACACCTCGAAGGACTGAGTCACTAGGCTTGAGGGCTTAGGACCATAGTCTCGGGGGACATCTAGGTCAAATGGCATAACATAGTCCATAAAGACAATGCTCTACATCCTACGTTTGTGAGTAGCAACTGGGGGTCTTAAGAGCCTGCCAGCGGCCATCTAAGATACAAGTATTGGTCTCTTCCCATCCAGAGCAAAGAGTGAAGAAAATCAAAGACTCAAGGAAATAATTAGTCCAAAGGACTAAACGACCACATGAACCACAGCTTCCACCAGCGTGCAACCAGAACTCGATAAACTAGATAGTACCTGGCTACCACTGACAACCGCTCCAACCGGGATCACAATAGAAGGTCCTGGATAGAGCGGGAGAAAAATGTAGAACAAAATTCAAATTCATAAAAAAGACTAGACTTACTGGTCTGATAGAGACTGGTGGAACCCAGAGACTATGGCCCTTAGAAACCCTTCAAACTTGAAACTGAACCCACTCCCAGAAACCACCTTTCAGTCAAACAATAAAATCAAACCAAACTTGTTGCTGTGGAGTAGATTCCAACTCATAGCGACCCTATAGGACAGAGCAGAACTACCCCACACTGTTGCCAAGGAACAGCTGGTGGATTCGAATTGCCAACCGATTGGTTAGCAGCCGTGCACTTAACCACTACGCCACCAGCGCTCCAGTCAAACAACAGACAGGCTTATAAAGTGAACAATAACATCCGTGAAGAAGATGCATCTCAGAACAATCAACTATATGAGATCAAAAGGGCAGTATTTGTCCAAAAGCAAAGTTCAGAAGGCAGGAAAGCTGCGCAAATGGAAACGGGGCCCCAGGGAGGAACGGGAGAGCGCTGACACATTGATGAGATAGCAGTCAATGTCACGAGACAAGCTGTGTATAAACTGTTGAACGGGAAACTAATTTGCTCTGTAAACTATCACCTAAACCACAAAAAAAGCTCCCCTCAAAAATAAAACCTTGTAGAGTACAGTTCTACTCTGACACACATGGGGTTGTCAAGAGTCGGTGGAATCTACGAGACAGCAACTGTTTTGGGTTTTGGCTACAGACAACCTCAAGTTACAGATAAGATTATGACTGACCCAAAGTTACGTGGGCCAGCAAGGGGCAAAGCAGGGACTTCGGACCCCAAACCCTGGAGACTGTCAATTAAATAAAACAACAGCCACATCAAACCAGGGACAGGGGAGAGACTCTACATACGTTGCCATGAATTCTCACAACAAGCCGGCAGAGTTGGTACTTTATTATCTTAAGTTTACTAACACTCAAGGACATTTCAACCTGACCAAGGTCACAAGGCCAGTTAGTCATGGCCTATGCCAGTCTGATGCCAAAAAAAATCCCGACTCCGCACACGAACAATCACGAACGCAGTATTCCAAGACCCAGGTCCTGGCCTCCCCATACTGCCCCAGGCCCGTCAGCTTCCACCGGGAAAGGGCTGGAGATCGCCCCCTGTCCCCCAGCATTCGGTCAGCCGCCCCCCTCCCCCAGGAGGCGTCCCTAGGAGTGGGCCGGGGACCCCTGCCCATCGCTCTCCCCCCTGCCCCCAGGGCCTCGCGGTCTGGGTCTCCGTCCCCTATCCCGCCTCTTACCAGCCGGCTCCACACCGCACTCTCAGTCTCTAGCTCGCCCACCGCCTTTTGGATTCGCGGGTCCCGCGGCCCCACCCAGGGCCCCTCCTCAGCCCGGAAGGGGCTGGGACAGGCAGTTCCCCTACCTTCTTCCTTCACTTCCTTCTGCTTCCCTCTGGAGCACCGTCTCCTGCGCTCTTTTTGACCCCCCACCCCCACCCCGCCCTTTGGGTCTTTGCTGTTTTTCCACCTCTCTTGCCTCTCTTGCATGGCTAGTGGTTAAGAGCTACCGCTGCTAACCAAAAGGTCAGCAATTGGAATCCACCAGCCGCTCCTTGGAAACCCTACGGGAAAGTTCTATTCTGTCCTATAGGGTCGCTATGAGGACTCGACGCCAGGGGTTTGCTTTGCTTTGCTTTGCCTCTCAGCCTCCCTGCCTTTCAGCTTTCCCCTCACCCTCCTCTCTCCCCTAACCTGGTTAGATTAATAATGTTAGCACACAGGCGGACCCTCAGAAATGGTTACAAACTCACAGCACACACAGACAAAACGC